CGGTTGCTAATTTTACGAAAAGTATCGCAGTCGAAAGCCTAAGTAAAAAAAAACATAAAATAGAGCAAAAAATGGACCCCCCTCCCCTTTATTAGAACCGTTGTTCCCAAGTCAGCTTCTATAATAACTTCTTCGTAAAGTTTCTTGCTTAGCCTTTTTTTTATTTTCAAAAATACTTTATCACTTACTTGGAAAGTTCGGTTTCGTCTTCTCTAGTTATGTTTGTAGCTGTAGTTCCTGGGCCTTATTAATTTTATCTCTGCCTCAAATTCTGGTGAGAAAGAGTGTATTATGTCAATTGGTCTCTTGTTTATGATAGAATGTATTATATTGATGTATTCTATTGTTGATTGAAGTATCAGTTCAACTGTATCGTTCAGGTGTTTTTTAATTTCAGGCATCTAGCGATTTTCGCGAGAGTGCTATGAAATCTCTCTATTTGCACATTTAATGTACTATGGAGTGGCGGGGAATTAACAATTATTTATTTACTATTTTCTAGAAGTGGTTTGTTTTTGACTTTAATGATAGCTCATTGTAACAGTATATGATTTTTTTTGGGCTTTAAAATGTTCTGTTACTTTGCTTATCAACTCTTATCTGCGTTGGTATATTATTCTGGTATGTGGGTAAAAATTTATAAATTGAAAGATTGGTGGCTCTATGTCTATTATAGTCCTAGAAGCTAACGATAGCACATTTTTAAGATGTATCTATGCACGTTAAAAAAATGGAGTATATCGCCAACCTGTGAAATAATGGGTGTTTCACCAATGACTTTTTTTGTGGGTGTCCACTACTATTCATTTATCAGAGGGTCATTTTTGGGAAAAAGTAGTCTTGGAGTAATTGTCTATTAATTTCCCAAGGTGCTCTATGAGCCCTGCTATGCTCTGCTATTATTATTTCTTTTTGTTGATTTATGTCCAGAAAGTCAATGAATACGAAATCTTTAATAAAACATCTATAATAGCTTAGATAGCTTAGATAGACCTAAAACAGATCTAACATGAAATAATGTGGTTGGTTATTCAAACTTGGCGATCGCTTCTATTTACTGAGGTTCGTTGAAATACCGCCTCGAGAGACCACAAATCCAAGATTTAAACTTTTTCTTCTTGTTTCTCTGTTCGTCTATTCCCTTTTTGTCTACTACCCACACCGAGTTATTATAAGGTGATCTGATGGCCTTATGTTATCTATTAATAAATTGCTGGTTTCGTTATTTACAAAATCAGAAACACCCCCTATATAAGGGTATAATTTAGAATATATCGGGTCCTCGTTTTCCGTATGGATGGTAGCGGTAAAGGGCTTCGTTAGGATCACCAAAAACACCTGCTCATTTTTTATACCCTGAACCCATTAAAAATAGGTATAAGGGTATATTGTATTTGTGCAAAATCCAAATGTATGTACCAGGTGCTTGATCAGCACCAATAGCCGAGTCGATCTAGCCATATCCGTCTGTCTGTCCGTCCGTCCGTCCGTATGTATGAACGCAAGGATCTCAGAACCTGTACGAGCTAGAGACTTTAAATTTTAGATGCTCCTAGTTCCCGCGCAGATCGAGTTTGTTTCCGATAATCGATAACTTACTCCGTTTCCAAGCAATCGATATCGATATCTTGTTTTTTGGACAATTTTGGTAAATAATAAGAGCTAGAGTCACCAAACTTGACATATAGCTTCTAAAATAGAATATATATATATGCATATGATGTTGGAAGAGGGTTCAGGGTATCCCCTAGTCGCGAGCTCCCAACTAGAACCTCTTACTTGTTATACCCTTGCAGAGGGTATTATAATTTTGTCGTGAAATGTGTCACGCATAGAAGGAGACATCTCCGACCCCATAAAGTATATATATTCTTGATCAGCACCAATAGCCGGGTCGGTCTAGCCATGTCCGTTTGTCCGTCTGTCCGTCTGTCCGTCTGACCGCCTGTCCGTCTGTCCGTCTGTCTGTTTCTATGCGAACTAGTCTCTCAGTTGTAAAGCTATCTTAATGAAACTTTGCAGAAGTCCCTCTTCCTGTTACACGCAGCACATATGTGAAAACCAGCTGGATCGGACTACTATATCATATAGCTGCCATTGGAACGATCGGTCGAAAATTAAGTTTTTGCATGAAAAAACATTTTGTTTATCAAGATATCTTGACCAAACTCGGCAATTATTAGTTTTACTAAGCTCCTCATATATATGCAAAATCCTATTAAGATCAGCTGCCATAGGAACGATCGGTCGAAAATTAAGTTTTTGTATGAAAAAAACATTTTGTTTTTGAAGATATCTCGACCAAACTCGGCATTTATTAATTCTACTATACTACTCATATATACTCAAAATCCTATTAAGATCGGATTACTATATCATGTATCTGCCATAGAAACGATCGGTCGAAAACTAGGTTTTTGATTAAAAACCTTTTTGTTGATCAAGATATCTTGACCAAACTCGGCATTAACTATTTTCCCTGTGCTTCTTAGATACGGGCAAAGTACTAAAGGCATTATGAAAAGGTTGGGTCTGCAAGGGTATTAGATCTTCGGCGTGCCGAAGATAGCCTTTCTCTTTCGTTTTTTATCATTTCTCGGAATTTATTTTGGATTTGTTGGGGGACTTCTATGTTTCCACCTTCTGTAAAGTTGACATTTGTTTTGGAATATTTCATATCCAGATTCAGTTTGCAATATTTTATATTTTAAATTCAACGTGTCATTTACTTTATGAAGTTGATCAAGTCCTATTATTCTGTTAAAAGTTGGCAGGCTTGGGAGTATAACAAATGAAGCTGTTGTGTTGAAAAGATGAATGAGGCATATTTTCTGAACAGAGTTAAAGCCATGAAGTGACTTAAATAAAAAAAGGTTAATTTACTGCTGTTACGTTTTTTAGCTCTGTTTTATATAATTTGTTGAAGCACCAGTGTCAATAAGTAATTTAATTGTTTTACCAGCTATCGCTCGTTCTATAAACGGTAGCAGGGAGCTATGTCTAAACAATTGACTTCTTCATACTGATTACTTTGATCGATAATGTCGGCTACCTCCGATTTGGTAATAGCGTGGTGTTCTTGCTCCTCTTAGTTTGGTGGGGTGTCTTCCTGCGAAAGGTGATTAACTCTTTGTTGTTTTGGTCCCGTGTACCTTGCAGTGCTCTTTTTGAGGCGTTTTGGTTGGTTTGTCAATGACCATAGGTTGAGATAGCTCCTTTTTTGGGAAAGGCCTGTTATTCTCAGCTTTCTGCTTGCTGAAAAATAGGCTTTTACCCTGTTGCGAGTTGTTATTGTCCCTAGCTAAACTCTTTTCTTGTCGTTGCTCATTCCGGTTAGCTCTCTCCTCAAGACATTTTGCATAATTGTTTGCAAATTGGAAGCGATCATGATTAGACTCAAGTTCTTTAGCTAAACCCAGAGCTGATGGCAGGTCTTTAGGGCGTGCCGAAAAAAAATATCGTTTAAGGAATTCTTTGTGCCTAAAATAAAAAGCCTCAAGGCATCTGTTCTGTATTTCTCGTTAAGAGATGCAGCCCAGGTACCGTCGTAAGTCATTCTTGTTTTATTAATGAGGAGCGTTAGTTTACGCTTCATATCCTCGAAGTTCTGTATAATGGTCAAATTTCCTTGGGTAGAGTCTTTACTAAATTAAGTAAATAGGTCATTTATCAGCGTATGCAAAGTCAAGTCTGTTAATGATGACTTTAAAATTCAGTGGCGTGTCATACAAACGCAGCACCTAATGGACAGGGCCTTTTATTTTATTTCTAATAATAGAGTGCCTGGTACTTCGGTTACAGTCACTGACGTGTTGGCAAATTTGCTTTTTAAATCTTTTAATTTTTGTTCAAACAATTTGGCCTGACTTGCCAGTGCAGCGGCACATTATGTGTTGAGTTTTGATCGGACCACCATTTCCCGCGTTTGTTTGTATTAAATTGTTTTAATTCAATGGGTATTTTGTGAAAACTGGATACTAATTCTTCTAGCACTAACACTCAAAAGGGTATTATTATATGTAAAAGTTGAACATTGTCCTCACAAAGATTTAGTTTACAAACAAGCTAAAACGATTTTTTGATTAAAATTAAATAGGCACTCTACTTATATGTTTTTTTGTTTTATGTGTGTGTGCTTTTAAAAAATAAAAGTGACCCTCCGACACTGTAGTTTGCGTTGTCTTTCGCAAGTTAATATATCTTCTGATGTTGCTGCTGGTTTTGTTCTAGGTATTCAATTTTTCAGTAGATCGTGAATTCACTGTTGGGCGCCAGTTAAGCAATTGCTTGCGTGCGCCGTCACTCAGAGACAGTACAATGGCAGAGTTCTATTGCTTTATTGTGGCGCAGCAATAAGAGAATTGATATTAAATACCGAAATGACGGAGTAATGTATTTCAGAAGCAGTGCGCTTGCTGAATGTATGAACAGAACTGAATTGCAATTACAATATTAGTGCAGCTTAAGCTAAAGATAATAACTCTAAATAATACGCTACAAAGTCATGGTCGGCAAGCCGCCTCAACATAATTGTAGGCGATAACGAAAACTCCTGCTCCAAAGTATCTGGTTACCGCCGCTGAATGTTGCATCTAGAGCGCTGAGCTCAAATGTTTGTTTGCCAGTACATACGAGAGTTAATTAATAACTAAGAGGGTTACTTGTTAACTTACACAATTATTGGCCGGATGTGTTAACTTATATGCTTGGAAATCAATTTGACCGCGAAACGTTACCCACCAAAGTTTGACCCCCATTTCCACCAAGGAGGAATGCACTTAGAGAAAGTGTGAAACATCCGTAAAGTGAATTTGAACAAAGATTTTTGAAAATGAGTTTGAGGCCTATCAGATGATAAACAAAAAGATTCATACAAACGTTTGCGTTTAATCACCAATCAGTCAGTTAGTCAGCACAAATAGTTTTAAATATAGAGATATAGTGTCTATAGATATTCATTGTATACATATGTTAAATACATAATTTATTTATTTTTTCAGATTTGAAAAAATTGGTCACAAATGCAAATATGCGCACACAGTTACATTATGTCGGATTTTAATATAACCAATGCAGGCAATATAAACGTCTTAGATCCGGGAAAAGTTTTGGAAACTGCTGATAAATCATTCAGAAAGGGGCAAGAACATTCATACGATAGGGAAAGTGCCGTCAGTTATTCTTGGGATGATGACGACAACGATGTTATTACATGCTGTGAGCACGAAAACTCTGAAACGACCAATAAAAGATTGCCTTTATTGTTGGACAATCAATTAGAAAAAATGCACATTGACACTTCAGATTTTTCCACAGGGATAACCGAAATTCCTGAAAGTTCTGGAGTTACGCAACTAAATATGCAAGATTTTGAAGCTCAGAACTGTCAAAAAATAAGCGCCGATAAAACTGATGGTAACAATGTTGAAAACCATGATTGTGATACTTATAAAAATTATGTTTTGAATGGAAGTGGTGCTTCTCAGTTACAAACAGTTCAACGGGGAAAGCCTTTACTTCCCCCCAATTCGGTTAGTTCAACTTCAGGAAATGAGTTGTCATATATACTTCCTAGTGGTACACAAAGCACGATTGCTAGTCCGTCTAAATCAAATGAAACGTGCTGCTCAAAACAAAATCTTCCATCCCTTTTAAAATCGCAATCACTTGACTTATACAATGGGGACTGTGCAATAATTAATATTGATCAACACTTGCATAACCATCACCTTCCTAATATCACAGAACATCGGTCTATCGAGAGCCAGTTTCAACTGATAGCCCCAAGCACCGACTTAATGAAACATTGTCAAGATGAGATCATTGACAAGTATGCTGGAGAATTACGCCAACGTCCAGCACAGCGACCAAATATTGCATCAACATTATTTCAATCTGCAGAATCCCGACCAATTTATCCAAACGTTCCATACAGTCCATATGGCAGTCCGTACAGTAGTCCTCGGCCAGTTCGATGCAGGCCTCCTTTACGTGAATCACGTAGAATATCCATTGAGAAATCGGGAAGTTTTCTTCAGCTTAATCAATATAAACTTATGGATCAAATAGGTCAGGTAATTAAAACGTAATTTAAAAGCAAATGACTTTGAGTAAAGACTTTTTTGGTAGGGTTCATATGGACTTGTAAAGTTGGCATATTCTGAGGAAGATTCGACACATTATGCTATGAAGATTCTCTCTAAAAAGCGCCTACTACGACAGGCTGCTTTCATGCGTCGTGGCCCAAAACAGACAACATCTCCGCTGGATCGGGTTTATAGAGAAATAGCAGTTTTAAAAAAACTGGACCACCCTAACGTTGTAAAATTAGTGGAAGTTCTAGACGATCCAATGGAAGATTCCCTATATATGGTTTTTGAGTTAGTTAAAAAAGGAGAAGTACTTTCAATACCTACTGAAAAGCCATTATCAGAGGAGCGGGCGTGGAGTGTGTTTCGAGACTGTTTACTAGGATTAGAATATTGTAAGTATAATTTTTTTATATCATTTAAAATAAACAACCATATTCGGCTTAGTTAAGATTGTTTCTAGTAATTAAGAAAATATTTAATTAAGGAAGATTAAAGAACCTCTCTTTCTAATGCTCCGAACCTTATTCCACCAAAATATGGCCAACTGATAGCAATGATATATACTCGATCTGTATATACTTAACGAGACTTTGCATGTTAAATTTAGTTATTCTAGCGGATAAAACCTAAGAGGAAGCTCAAAAAACAGTATTTCGATATCGATGGCTTGCAAGAACATTCCCTCTCTAGAACGACACGGTCATATATAATGACAGAATGATGACCATAGGTAGATCACCGCCACTATTGACAATATAATTACAGTATATACTTTATGGGGTCGGATATACGGTTTTCTGCCTTTTACATCCACTCGCACAAAACCTTTATAATCTTTTACGTGCACATTGAGGACCTAAAAAAAAATATAAAAAAAATTGTACTGACTGACGGGTCACGACTTGACACGTGAACAATACACAAAGGAAACGAAAGGTTTAAGAGACTGAAAAGTTGAATTTTGAATTGAATTTTGAAAAAAGCTTTAATTTTTCTAAAATGCTATTTATTTATTAAGAAAACGTAAGATGTAAGACTGCAGGATAATCTCGAGGGTTGTTTGTTTTTTTTTTTGCTTTTCTAGCCAAAACCTCGTCTTATCGTGCATTTTCACCAAATAAGGTATCTACATTAATAATAACAGTTTCATAGCTTTTACAGTTACAATTACAACAGTTTTATCGATAGCAGCGACTGTGTTCTAGGCTGTACAAACTTTTTGCTTCAAATTGAAGACTTCAATCTACGATCTTGAACGTTATGCCTTAAGATGTATTTTATAATTATACTTGAAATTAGTGGATGAGATAAACTTCAATTATAGAATAAAAAGCCAAAAGATTGGCGTTAAAACGTTTTCCGGTAATTTTAGTCTTGTGATGAGAATCGTAAATCTTAATAATAATCGTTCGTTTATTTAGCCATTGATTTCCATTCGTTTTCATCCAAGTCCAATGAGTTATGTGCAATACATCTTAAATCAATTTCTACAAATTTAGTTTGAATACAACTCGGTAGTAAACAAAAAGTATGAAACAGCCGTGCTCCGCACATTTTTTATAATTGTGGGTTGTGTGTGGAATTTCGAAAATCGCTGAAATACGTATTTAATAAGTCTTTATGTAAAACTTTGAAAATAAGTTAGTCCACCCAGGTGGTGTGGATTTTGGGAAAAGTTTCATACAATCGTGTTTCGTAGCTATTGCGACTGGATTGCCTATTAACTGGATACAGCCTCAGATCGTTGCTGAAAGTACGATTTCGCACATACCTTAAATCCTTCTCGAGAGTGGTTTGACAGGCAGTAACCAAGATTGCATTACCCCAAGTTGAAGGGTATTTTGTTCTTATAAGAGACTGTGCTTCTGGAATGCTTTCACGCTTAAAATGCGGCTTGACGGATGTTTGTATCTCATGAAAGTGTCCTATACAAAGTTTAACGAAGATAGCGGACTCTGTAATTTACGGGAGCCATCGTATCTTAGACTAAATATGAGTCATCGCAAACGTGCACTGTTGACCATTATTACCATGAACAGCTATGTTTCATCGCGTAGCCCAACGACTGAATTCATCCAGGTAGAGTTGGAACGTTTCAAACACCGCACTATTGATGTGGTTCGATGCTATAAATACCGTATAGTCTGCGTCGGTCGCTATGATGGTGTCATTGATATCAGGGTTTGCCAAATCGGGTACAGGATGTCCAGTATAGGCTTTAATGGCACGCCTGCAGCAACGCAATATTGGATCTTGTATCTCTCAGGCCTCCAATAAAGTTCCGACTTTCCAGAAAGGAATACATCAGAGTAAATTCCGCAACAGGGAGAAAGACTTAAGTGTGAACATTGACTAATGATGATACTCAATCAAACACTTGCCGAATGTCTGAAAAGACAGCAGAATAGTATTTGTCGCATTCAAGGGCATCTAAAATATGGCTTCAAACGCGATGGACCTGTTCTGGTCCTCCGTGACATGAAATCCAAATCGATGCGACTTAATAATCTTGCAAATAATATATCCCCTTGATTATTCTTGAAAATTTTAGCAGTAGACTAATACGGCGATATTATTTCGAAATATGCGTATCCTTGCGTTTCTTTAATTGCATTATAATAACTGCACACTTCCATTGGGACGGGAGTGGCAAAAGCGAAGCATGCAATTAAAGAGGAGTACCAAATACTGGACTGATTTGGAATAGACTATCGGGATCTGTTTTCAGGAAAACACATGTAACAGCAACATTTTTGGACAGGATTAAGTTGAAAAGCTTTAGAATCGTCGCATGCAAAAAGTAAAAACCTCTCTATCATCGTATTAAATGTGCACCAGGTATTAGCAATTTTTTAAATCGTCTGATGGAGAAACCTACCCAAGTCAGGTTCAATTCCGGAATTCTCAACAAGATACTTTCTGAGTATATAATTTGCTCTCCGATATTCCTGTTCGCTTAAATGTATTGTAAGATTTTCTGTTACTTCACCTTATATTAAAAACGGGAAATGTTCGCAAGCCTAGGGAGTCGAGTCGTAGTTTGACTGTTAACGAGAATATACTTTAAAAAGCATAGCTGAAGGCGACCTATTTTCAGCTACTGGTCAGCTATATTTTCCATTCTTGAACTGGCTAAAAAGCTATCTAATATGGGACCGTTTTGAGTGGATCTTCTGGCTCCCCACCGTTCCATGTGAGTGTTCCAGACGAACGATAATATTACTTCGTCTTGACTACTCGCTAATTGCTGAACTATGCACTAGACCTTAAAACCATGTAAGTGAAACTTCTGGCATTAATTTATAATCACAGTAAATCCGCTATTTGTTTTCTGGGAAGTTCGCCTCGCACAGCATAAAATTTAGTTGGTGACGGTTCAGGAAACCTCAATTTTCGAATTTGCACTCGACTTCAGCCCTCACAACCTTGATTTATTCCCAATATTGTTTTTATTGCCTTCTCCAAGCGATTATAGTAATTTATATAATCTCTATAGACCCCATCTTAGAACCTGCTTCGGTAGGCGAAATAGCAGCATCACCTTCCGTTTCTAGCCGTATGTGTAGACCTTTCCACAATTTTGCTCAGATTGTTAACAGTAAACAGTTAAGCACCGCCTTTTGTCTTTTGTTGCCCCTTGCAAACCAATTTTTGCGCCCGGTCTTCGGCTAGCAAATTTTCTACTAATATATCTACATTGAAATTCAATTTCACCATTCCTTGTGAAAATAAATGTTTCTCCTGATTCGTTTCCAATTTGATTGGGATGATTGTTCTTCAGCTTAAGCCTAAAAAGGGAAATCAGCCTTTCTGTCAACTGTCAAGATGCTGACACAAAAGACTAAATTTGTCTTCAGATCTTTTCTCTATTCGGTATTAGACAGTCAGAGGCCTTATTTCTTAACTTAAAAATCTTTTTATAGCTGCCACTTCCCTTGATTCGTATATAATCGCATTATCAGGAACATGGTTAAATTCAACGATATCCGATTTTGATATCCAAGCAGGTTTTCGTTGTACATTATATACGTTAAAGCCTTTAGCAATGCTGAACCTTCCTGTTTTGCTGCGCTTACTGATGCTGAGATTATTAAAGTTACTTTCTCAGTTAAAGTTACTTTCTCTCCACGTGCTATTTATATCACCTGATCCTATAATCCACCTTTTCCTGACATTCAAGTTTACTTTGAATCATATAACTTGTATAAAATAAATTTCTAGTAATGTGCCCGATAATTACCTTCTGATCGTGTTGGGTGATTTAAATTTATCGAATATCTCTTGGTCAATCTTTACCGCCAGTAATTGCCTTATACCTTTAGCTCAGCATGCTTGCTAGATTTTTCGTTGTTTCAAATCAATTCAATTTCTAATCATTTGAATAGATCAATTGATCTTGTATTTGTGAACAATTACCTTAATGCCAATGTGTCCAGATCCCCTCCTCTACCTCCTCCTGTGGTTGCACAATATCCTACTATGGCGGTTGCAATGGTCATGTGCATTCATTAGTGACCAAAATGCTTTCGCAAAGGAAACTATTCCTTGCCTAATCAATGTATTAATTTTTTATTTATGAATTGTCAATGCTATAAAAAAATAATCTAAGTCGTTGCGAAAGGCGAATAATTCAAAATCTGAGACAGTTTTATAATTTTGTAAGCTTGAAGCGTATTTCTTTAATTTTGCCATCCTTCTTTTCCTTTGGGATGCATAAGGCGAGCAATGACTCTGATGCTGCTCAACTCTTTGCATATTTTTTCCAATCAACTTACTCCTCTTTTTGCCCCAATAACATGTCTCACTCTTAAAATATAACTTCCTCTAGTCCTTTAATTGCTCATAATTTTTCTCATTCCCATTTCATTTCAGCTATTTACTCATTCAAATATTCTTACTCTCCTGGGCCTGACATTTTTCCTAGTTGTCTACTCGAGAAGTGTCCTCTCTTCCTTTATTCAAGCCATGAATCTTCTCTCTTTCCATCTAATTGGAAAAAATCTTATATCGAAAAATGGAAAGTCTGATATACCAAATTACAGGGGTATTGCTAAACTGCCCGGCATCTCTAAATTATTTGAAATATTTATTACTTTGATTTTGCCGCATTACTCCGAAGTAGTTATCTCCCCTGCACATGGGTGCGAAAACAAACGGCTGCGACCAACCGGTTGACTTCCTGGAAACAGGTTAATGTTGCATCTGGTGTAGCTCAAGGTAGTCATCTTGGACCTTTACTCTTTACTCTATTTCAAATGATCTCCTTTCTGTTATATCTCATGCTTATGTACTTATGTACGCAGATGATGTGAAAATAATGCTTTCTTACATCACTCCTAACTGAATGATGATTTGAACTCTATGCAACTCTGGTGTTCGGCCGATCATTTAAATTGTCCAAAATTTATGTTTATGAACTTTAATCGTAATAAGCTTTATCGTGTTGCTCTACAATCGAAAATAATTATGAAGACCTAGGGTTTCTTTTGGGTTCTAAGCTCTTCAATCTTCAAATTGCTACTGTTATTACTGAGGCCAAATGTGTTCTTTATTTTATTGAACGTTCCCTTCTACTTTTTGCCTTTCGAGGTTTAAGCTGGGATCCCAATCTTCGGTTATATTCCATCCATATTCCAGTAGGCTTCTCTTAGTTAATCTTCCCTCCTTAGCCAAATGTAGGACAGCCGTTGGCATCGTCTTCCTACATAAGGTATTTATTGGCGACATTGATTCTCCTTTTCTTCAACTCTCTGCTCCCTCCAAACACGAAAGACTGCGCAATGCACAACTCATTTCGTGTATTATGCAATAATCATAATAGATTGTACTACATGTTCTCCATAGAACTCTCTCTAGTTGCTTTCAGGATATCTTCGGGAACTCACTGACCGTTTCCATCTATGAGTAGTGGCATATATTGCTGGTGGTTTCCTTTTAACCCTATCAGCTTAACATCAAAGGCTCTTTTAAATTGCTTTACCTTTTTCATATCTTTTTTTCTCCGTCTTTTAATACCCTTGCAGAGGGTATTATAATTTTGTCGTGAAATGTGTAACGCATAGAAGGAGACATCTCAGACCCCATAAAGTATATATATTCTTGATCAGTATCAACAGCCGAGTCGATATAGCCATGTCCGTCTGTCCGTCTGACCGTCTGTCCATCTGTCTGTTTCTATGCGAACTAGTCTCTCAGTTTTAAAGCTATCTTAATGAAACTTTGCAGAAGTCCCTTTTTCTGTTGCACGCAGCACATATATCACAACCAGCTGGATCGGACCACTTTATCATATAGCTGCCATTGGAACGATCGGTCGAAAATTAAGTTTATGCATGAAAAAATATTTTGTTTTTCAAGATATCTTGACCAAACTCGGCATTTATTGGTTTTACTTTACTCCTCATATATATGCAAAATCCTATTAAGATTGGACCACTATATCATATAGCTGCCATAGGAACGATCGGTCGAAAATTAAGTTTTTGTATGAAAAAACATTTTGTTTTTCAAGATATCTTGACCAAACTCGGCATTTATTAGTTTTACTATGCTCCTCATATATATGCAAAATCCTATTAAGATCGGACCACTATATCATATAACTGCCATAGGAACGATCGCTCGAAAATTAAGTTGTTGTATGAAAAATCATTTTGTTTTTCAAGTGATTTTGCCCAAACTCGGCATTAACTATTTTCCCTGTGCTTCTTAGATACGGGCTAAGCACTATAAGCATTATGAAAAGGTTGGGTCTGCAAGGGTATTAGATCTTCGGCGTGCCGAAGATAGCCTTTTTTTCTCGTTGTTTTTTTTTTTTTTTTTTGTGGCTAGTGTGGCTGCTGAGTAGAGCCGTCAGCAAGTAGTGCGGTTAGTTGCGAATTCGTAAATTTTCCGTAAAAATTTAAGTAGTTATATTAAAACATTCTTTATATATCAATATGTCCTAACCAAACTTTTTTTTAATACCAGCCTATTTATTATTAGTTCTATTAGAATAATCGGTTGATAAATGAGTTTTTGTAGTGAAATAATATGTTAAGCAAGATATATTTTACAAGCTTCGCAATTTAACCCTGAACCAATTGATAATGGTTGAATGGTATACTGGTCTTGTGCAAAGGTAGAGGGAACATCTCTCAACGACCCCATATAGTGTATATAAAAAGTGTATAAAAGTAAGTTGGAAAGTCTGTAACGACTAGTCAGTGCTGGGTTTAAAGAATCTCCTAGTCGAACACTTTCTTTTTTTAAATTTTACTCTTCTCAAATAAATCCCGAAATCATAATTAAGGAAGGGAAATTAAGTTTTTTTTTTATATCAAAAGAATTTAAACTATTTAATTCAATTGTTTACTATTTGTTAATTGTGTGTATTTATGGTTCCATCACAGTGGGAGAGGTTGCATCTAAGGGGCGGTGAAAGTGTTGTGTGCTCCGCAGATCCTGATAGGCTTATAAAATCGTCACGTTGTATGACTAAATATCACTCTTAATGTTGAAAAACTATATGCCCATGGGATTCCGTCCGCAAGTAGAAGGAAATAAGATCGGCATCGACAAAGTCATCCACATTGGCACGACATCCCCATATATTATAGCTAGAGAGTATTGTACGTAGGTCATTCATTCATTTTTTATTTTTTTAAGCGATCAAAAAAATCTATGTATAATTTAGTTTTTGAGCATTTTTCTCAATTGATCTATACAGATCAAGTATATATATTTGCATTGACCACGAACTGTTTCTGGTTTTGGTAGAAGAGGGTTTAAGGTTTATTATAAAGCTAAATAAAATTTTTACCATAGAGAAAATCTTAAATATGCGTTCAGATCCTTAAATATACGTTAGGATCCCTATCAATGATACAGTTTTAAATACTGGAGTTCATTCATTTGCCAATTCCTGCAGTAACACGATATATGTATGCGTAACTTTGCGAGTTTTTCTACTGTGTATTCACATATGTATGTATGAGCGTAATTGTGCACCTTAATGCAACATGACAACAGTTAGAAAACGCTTACATATTTAATTGGTAAAGCTTATTAATAAATTCATACATAAATTAAAAATATTAGATATTACCGTTACACCAAGTAAAAATTTGGCTTTGACTTCGCGGGGGTTGACTGTTGATATGCGTTAGGAGATAATGAAAGATAGGACCAGTTACGGAACGAGTCGTTTTTCTACCAGGCCAACGCGCTATGGTTTATCTTAAAAGCGAAACATAAACTAAATACAATTGATTCTTAGAGAATGGATAGAGTCGGTGAAGCTAACTTCCGTGTTCGCAATAGCGTTGAGCTTGCGCATCTTGTGTGGTCTCATATGAGCAGCAAAGAAGTTGCTGATCTATATGAAAATGTTGGAATCAACGTTTTCTGCTCATATTAGTCTTGTGGTGAGATTCTTGAAGCCGAAAATAAACTTTCGTTTATTAAGCCTTTGACACTAAATAAAATGCTAACAAAGATCTTTGAAAATAAGTTAGAAAACGGTAAAAAATACAATATTCTGCCAGATTTGTTCAGTTGGGAATGGAATTTCCAAAATAGTTGAAACACATTTAATTTTAATTTAGAGCTTTGTAAATGGTTTAAAACTGGTTGGGCAGAACTTAAACTTAAACCTTAAACTTCGCCCTTATAACCTTTCACCCGCATTTATCATCCAAGAGAGACGAAAAGTGTGAAACAAGTCTCAAAGTCATTTTAGCAAAGATATTCAATAATTATTTTAATGCCGATCGATTGTAAACAAAAAACTTTCATATCAGCCAAATTTTTTTTAATTTTGGATTACGACATCGTTCGGAAATTGAGTGTTGTATAAACAACTTTTTTGATTTCCATGATAACTTGACTAATCCTGTGCTCCGTACGTACAAACCATATCCTTTCAACATCTATATACTATAACATATGGATCTGTCTTTTAGAACTTCGGCAATTGCAAGCCTTACAACTTCCTCACATATCTGCAAATCCGTATGCTTCATTTCTACAAGGGTATTTAATCTACGAGGTGCCGAAGATAGCCGTTCTTGTCGTGTTAATACTCTGATCGCAAAGTCAACAGAAAGAGCATATTTGTTTGCAATGTACAATTTGCTATTCATCCGTCTGTTTTTATATCTGTTTATATCTGTCTCCAACAAAGTGTTGAACAATTTTTTTGTCATGCTACTGTCTGTGATACTACAGATTACTGATTAGCTCTCTTAATTTCAAGTCAAAAAATATTGCGGACTCGCTATAAGACAATGGTTAATAACCGCTAGACTAGCCAATATTCATATCAAATTTAGCTTATTTATTAAAAACGTGTTCGTCCTATAACAGTGCATTATCAAAAAATTATTCATGCGGACCTGAAACCCGGAAATTTACTACTGACGGAATGTGGGCATGTCAAAATTGCAGATTTAGGAGTATGCAATGAGTTTCTTGGAGAGGATTCTATAATGACTAATGGCTCAACAGGCGGTACACCAGCTTTTCGTGCACCCGAAACTCTCGCTTTGGGCAAGGTATGTAACATCAAAAGTATGACAGATCCTCTTGTTTAATAAGGTTTTCGTTTCCTCAGAATGTGTACTGTGGTCGTGCAGCAGATATTTGGGCTTTGGGAGCAACGTTATATTCTTTGATTTTTGGAAATGTGCCATTTATAGCGAACTCCATACCCATGTTATATGAAAAAATAAGAAACGAACCAGTTGTTTTTCCAGGAACACCAGAAATAAGCAGTGATTTGAGAAACTGCATTGTTCGAATGCTTAAAAAAGATCCTGCAAAAAGAATAACTTTGCCACAACTGAAGGTAGTACACAAAAATTATACAAAACAAGAAAAATAATATACTTTATGAATCTATTCACATTTAATTTTAGATAAGTTCATGGGTCACCAGTAGAGGGCTGTATTCCTTACCAACGGAAGACGAGAACTGTTGTTTGGTACAAGTAGACGAAGAAGATATAAATTCGGTTGTTCGCAGTATTCCAAAGCTGGATACTCTTATATTAATCAAAACTATGCTAAAAAATCATTCCTTTGGAAATCCCTTCATGAGGGGTATTTCCGGTAGAGCTCCTCAACCAGGCGGTTCCAGATTCGAAAAATTTATTCAAGCTGGTAGATCAAACTCAGCACCAGGCTCGTATTTCGTGGCATTGAACAGGTAAATTATGCATATATTTGTATTGCGAAAAAATATTTATATATTTATTTCCAGAGACCCATCAATGGACAGTGTACTTCCAGCGTTAACTGAAAATTGCTCTATTCAAAAAAATAATGAATTTTAAATAATTAAAAAACGTTATCTAAATAAGAACAGGGACCGAAAATAACCATTTATTATATACATTATTGAAAATTTGATAAGAATGCCTAAGATGCACAAAACTAATAGTTTTTATTCCGTCTATATTGATGAGCAATACGCATTTTTAATTTAATCACGATAAGTCGGGATTTCGCGAAATTCCATCCACATGTGTGAAAAAATCGCTGAAAACTTTTTTGATTGCTATCTAGGTTCAGAGTATCTCCTAGTTGGAAACTTTAAACTAGAGGACTTTTACTTTTTATTCATTCTTATAACAATGTTCTGATTGTATAATTTAAAGACTGGGTTGTAGCAATTGTGTCGTAGTGCAAATTAACAATCAGAGATAATTAATAATTAAGTTTCAACCGTTAGTCCCAGTAATATACATTCTTTAGCAGTATCAACAGTCGAGGCCATATAGCCTGACCGTTTTCGCGCCTGGGTGTTTCTATGCAAACTAATTTTTCAGTTTTCTCGTCATGAAACATTGCAAAGGTCCGTCATTCTGTTGCAGGTAGTACCTTGGCGGAACCGGCTGGATCAAACTTTACAAATTAGCTCCTTAGGAAGAGCCGGCTAGGTAAAATTATATGTTTTTTTTTCTCAAGATATCTACACAGTTTTGTAATTATAAGCATTACAATGCTTCTCCCATATTTGGAAACCATAAACCATAATTATACAAGGGCATTTAATTAAAGCCTATTTTGAGCATTCGATCGGCTGTTACTCATTTTGCTTTTTGAAGCCTTCGAGCCTTTTATATGATTTTCTTTGTATCAGAAATAGACAAGGGTAGTATATCAATGGATACTCCACCATACTATCGGACTTTCAATAATTTTTTGAAATATTTGTGAAAACTAATTTAAGTCATCTTTACACTTGCAGGTGTAAGCTGATTTGCTAAGATATTAGTAAAAATTTATTTGAAACGTGTCTCACAGCCTTTAGAAAATTCACCTACCCTGGGTGAAAACTACTAGTCAAAGGTCAAAGAGCTATATAAGAACATATTTTCTGAAAATGTATACTGCTATTGTGAAAATTGGCGAAAAACGTACATTATATGCAACTGTTTTGCTTATCATACGATCGGCATTTGATTAATTTTCAAAGATTTTTTATGAAATTTTATTTAATATGTATCCCTCTTGGATGGTAAATACAGGTCAAAGTTGTATGAATGTGCTTAAAACTGATAATCAAACTTGAGATTGTACTGTACGGATAAATTTAAAAATTCTATGGGCGGAAAATGGGTAAAATAATAACATAAGCAAGGTAACTGTAAAGAATCTTAAGTAAAGCAAAATAATTTTTTTCCGTAAGTACTCACCTTGATTGGATTATTGCCAAAGGCGTTCAGTCATGATAGTTCTTTAATGCTTTATATATCAATAACTATGGTTAAAGCTTTAAATCTCACCGTTTTTTTTATATGCTTTTAAGGTTTACGTAATAAACGCTTGCAACATTATAGAAAAATGTTTTTTTTTTTTTTAAATTGTTTGGATCTTAAATTGTTTGGTGTCACAGTAAACTCGTTTTAAATAATTTTTTTTTTTTTTGTTTTTAGCTACTGCTTTAACGATATGTGTTCAAACACCTACAAATATTTTTTATTAGATGAAATTTTAGCATAATATCAAAAATGTTGTTGCATTTGACGTTATCGGTAGCACCGAGGGTGTACCTAGTTGGTTGCGTGCGATATTATCAGCCACGCCGATATCTTTTCGTCATATGGTAAGAGTATGCGGGATGAAGCTGCGCCCACGGCGGAGCCCAAATTTTTGAAGGGTGGCAACGCCAGACTTGCGATCCACACGCCAAAAGAGACGATTGCTATTGGCCGCCCGGTTCGCTCTTAAAGAGAATATGAATAGATTGGATCGCATGTCCTTGGATATGCCCTTGGTCGTCATTTGGGCCATTGACCCAAAAAAATGCAGCTGTGCAGATGTGCAGCAACGGTGCCCGCCTCGCCAATGTATGCGTGTGCCGAAATTCGGCACCGATGATGCTGCTGCCCAAATGTAAAAGGAGTTCGATTTTGTCAGCGGTCCACAGCGGACGTACCGGTTCGTAGTTAAGGATTTTTGGATGTTGGATATTTTTTTTTTGCCGGCCACGGAGCATGTGCTTAACCAATAAGAAAAAAATCAAGGGACATACATTTGTTCATGACGGGTTTTCTTTATTATTTAATTGCGAAGATAATTCCTTATGTGCTAACGTATTGCAAAAGAAATAGTGCCCAAGAGCGATAATACGCGAAACAATAATACGCCCGAAACACACTGTGTTCATTTAAAACTACTATATATATAGCGGTACTCTATTAGAGCAGCCGCAGCCATTCTGTGGCACACCACGTTTGGATCCCGCGCCGGAGGACGCTGGGCATATCAACCCCGATATTCACGGGCCGGATTTTCAAAGCGCGGCCAAGCGTCGGCGCAACGCTGAAGGCGACGAGACGAGCCACCAACGACCGGACGCCAACAACGAAGAAGCGGCCACAGGCGAGACCACGCCCACATCCTCCGAGTGAGTCCGTTCCATTTTGCTCATCCTCGTTCGAGCCCTTGGCAGAGAAGTGATAGAGACTCCTGACCGTACTCCCTGAAAAATAACAGATTTTGTTTGTCGTTAAATTTAGTTTTTTTTGTATTTATAAATCATATCTATACATACATAGGCACTTACGCCGAGTTTTACTTTAGAGTGCGAACGGTGAGGGAAACTCCAAAGGTGATGCATCAGCGCCTGTAAAAGATAAAAATTTTAAATTAACACTTGCGCGAACTATATTTACATACTTACCTAATTGGAATTACCCATTTCTATCACCCCTTACCACCCCAGAAAGCTCTTTAGGCAGGGTAAGGTAGAATTAAGCGATTTAATACAATTTATATAACCTGTTGCACGACTGATTATCGTGACATACCCAGTTTTACGTAGTTGTGTGGGCACATTGCTCCTAAATTGGCGCAACGATTGCCTCGAAATTGCCTCCGTGCGTGTTTTTTTTGCGGCGACTAGCAATATCTTTGTAGAATTTCGTCGCCTGTTCCATTTAGTGCTGTTAAAATAAAAAAAAGGAATTCTAGAAGATAAGAGAAAAATGTAGGCATTAATACACTTTGTCCATGAGTATAAATATAGGCAACATTAATACGCACCCGGGGGAGAAATGTTCACGTGCATGAATACTAATTCATCTGAACGGAGACCTCGTGCAAATTAGAAGGAAATAAGAGAAATATTATTGCCAATAATTATAAGAATACACCAACCATTATACGGACCTGTGAAGTTAACCAAATATCCACTTGCATGAGATTCTAAATAGCTGCAAAGATAAACGCCATAAGCGATGATTATAATTGTTATACACTTTAAGAAAACGCAACCAATTATATACCGTACCTGATGAGAGAAATGTCCGGCTAAATTTTCTTCGTTGGGGACAGTTGGCATAACAGCCGGCACAGGCTGATGGCCATCTAATGGACAAAATGTGGGAGAGAGTAGGTGATCGTCTCATGGTTGGGCGGGTACGCTGGGTCCGGAACCGGGGCCCGATCTGGAAGAGTAAGGTGGATAAATAGTGTTTTTTGTTAATTTATATTGAGTGTCGCCTGGTGATAGAATGTGATATTAGGGTAGGTCTTACTAGAGTTTGTTTAATGTTTTCTATTTGTTTTGTCCCACTCTGTGGTAATGCTGGGGTTTGCTGGCTGTAGTTAAATGAGCTTCGGAGACAGGTGACCCAGGACATAAAGCCGATCCTAAAGCCGCACCTGTCACACAGCATACCTTAAGGGGTGCCCAGAAGTGCGACAGAAACCAAATAGCCCCTAAGGTAGCGTTCCTTGAATGCCGTTCGTCAGTCAAACTGACGAACTGAGCATTTGACGAATGCTTAAGTGTTGTCCACTGTCCAGATTATGCGTAGATTTGTTAGCCTGTGTTAGGATTTGTCTTCTCTCCACCAAGTATTTGAAATTAATTAGAAAGAAAAATATGTATTTTTATGAATGTTTTTGTGGTCGATGTGTATGAATTTATTATTCTTTTTTAGTAAGATTTGTTAGTGGGTGTTTATTTATTTATTAATTTATTAGGAATATTGGTAACATTTTTATTTTTTTAAAGGTAGCAATCCTTGTAGAAGAGACCCCCTGTACCCATACAGTTCTCAGAAGGGATAAGTATGGCTGAGAAACAGGTGTCTGATTGGGCTTCTGACGCTGATGGGGCGTCGGCTCTGCCACCGCCGCGCCCGGCTGGGGGGCTGGTGCGAACGCCAATGAATTTCCGGGGATTTCCAGAGAGACAGATCCCAAAAGAGGGTCACCTGGTTGACTTGGAGGAAGAATTGGCGCAACAAGATAAACCTCCACGGAACCTGGAGTTCCCAAAAGCCCCGAAAGACTCAGTGCTCAAATCGGCGGCAAACGCGGCGATCGCTCAGGTCCACCAAACGTATCGGCATGCTCTGTAACAACGGGTTACCTGCAGCCGTCGCGTCGTCCACAAGGAACGAGGCCCGTAGTCCACGAGGTTGAAGTACCACCACAACGTACAGAAACGCCGCCGGGAGAACTGGAGGAAGCATTCGTGCGAGGCAGGAACTCATCCCGACTTGCATGCTGGAACTGCAGACAATTCGATCACGTCTTTAGAGACTGCCTGTCCAAGGAGCGGAAAATAGTCTGCTATAGGTGTGAAAAGCCAGACACTTTCTGCTCCCTGTGTGAAAACTGTCTGGGAAACCCCAGAGGGAGCGCTGTGATGGCGGGACAGACGCGTTCCGGGACGGCGACCGCGGGGAAGCAGGAGAGGGGTACCTACCAAAGCCAATAATCATTGAAAAGGAGGCGGAGATTTGGAATAAGGATCAGGATAAGGCTTATTATAATAATAATATAAGCAATGGAGGAACACTTAGGGGCTTACCGTATGAAGAACGTGTTCGGGCATACATGTCGGCCCGAAATAGAAGTTTTGGTGAGCGACAGCTGGAAGGGATGACACTAGCCAGCCGGAGAGTGGTGAAGGCACGTGCGCGCTTCCGCAGACGTAGGATTACCCGGCGCCAGGTCGTCGAGGCGGTGAGACGGGAGGATAGTTTAGACCCACGCGTATTTGCCGAAGTGGAAGTCGCCGGGGCCAAGATGAAAGGGTTGCTGGACACGGGGGCCTCAGTCAGTCTGTTGGGACGAGGATACCGGGAGTTAGTGAAGGAACTGGGATGGGAAGCGCGGCCAAACGAATCAATGGTGAGGACAGCGGCGAGTGCCAATCGCCCAATTTTAGGTCGCGTGGTTCTGCCTGTGAAATACGAGAATAGAAAGGAAGATATCGTATTTTACATGTGCCCGGACCTGCGACAAGAACTATACCTGGGAATCGACTTCTGGCGGGCCTTCGAGATTGTACCAGAGCTGCTCGGTTCGGCCAGAAAGCCCGGAACACCACCAGAGGCATCTGAGGTAACGGTAGCGAACCCAGAGGTGGCTTATTAACGGGATGTGGGACCTGGACAACGATCAGAGGAGTCAGTTGGAAAGCGTGAAGCGCAGATTTCTCCAATTTGAGAAGGATGGCCTAGGGAAAACTCACCTGCTGCAGCACCGAATTCAGCTGATCGAGGGAGCAGAACCCGTGAAGGACAGACATTATCCGCTGTCTCCGGTCAAACAGGAGATCGTGTGGGCCGAGGTGGATAAAATGCTAAAGTTAGGCATCATCGAGGAGAGTGACAGCCCCTGGAGCAACCGGACGACGGTGGTGATGAGGAAGAAAAGGTTTTGCTTAGACGCCAGGAAACTAAACAGTGTGACGGTAAAGGATGCTTACCCGCTTCCATGCATCGAGGGCATCCTATCGCGAATCGACGAGACTCATTTTATCTGTAGCGTCGACCTTAAGTTCGCGTTCTGGCAAATCGCGATGGAGGAGAAGAGCAGGGCGTATACAGCGTTTACCGTACCAGGGAGGCCGCTGTACCAGTTCCGCCACATGCCATTCGGGCTCTGCAACGCCGCTCAACAACTTTACAGGCTCATAGACAAGGTAATCCCGGCGAATCTGAGGTCCAACGTGTTCGTATACCTAGACGATTTGCTGATAATATCGGCAGATATTCCAACGCACCTAAAATACTTGGAACTGGTGGCCGAGTGTCTGAGGAACGCGAACCTCACCATAAGCATGGCGAAGTTAAAATTCTGCTTCCGAAACCTAAACTACCTGGGTTTCATCGTAGGCGGCGGGACGCTGCGCATGGATCCGGGAAGAGTAGAAGCGATCCGGAACATCCCAAATCCGAGGACGGTCAAGGAACTACGAAGCTTCTTAGGTACAGCGGGGTGGTATCGACGATTCATAAAAAACTTCGCCGAGATCTCGGTACCGTTGACTTAAGAAGAGAACGGGTAGATTTGTGTTGAGTGACGAGGCCATGGATGCCATAGAAAGCTTGAAGTTAGCCCTCACCACAGCTCCGGAGTTAGTTCACGCGGATTTTCGAAGACCATTCTTCATCCAATGCGACCCGTCTCACTACGGAGTAGGCGCCGTATTGTTTCAGCTAGACGACGAGCAACAGCAAAGGTCGATCGTATTCTTCTCGACCAAACTCAACAAGCACCAGATCAACTATTCAGTGACCGACCGTACGTGGAGATGATGCCGTTCACGGTAATCACCGATCATGCGAGCCTGCAGTGGCTTATGAGTCTCAAAGACTTGAGCGGGAGATTAGCCAGGTGGTCCCTAGAACTGCAAGCGTTCCCTTTCTCTATGCAATACCGCAAGGGAGCCGACAACGTCGTCGCACACACGTTGTCCCGAAGCGTGGAAGACCCCAGAGGATCTGTTGGGATTTCAGACCCCGGAATTCGAGAGCACCGAATATCGAGAGCTGATAAAATAGGTGATGAGCCAACAAGGGATCTTAGAGTGCAGGACGGACTTCTGTTCAAGAGGACCGTGAACGAGCGCTTGGAGGATGAGGTCGAGGGCACAAGCTGGAAGCTCTGGGTGTCGGAGTCGCTGACTGCAGGACTCATCCAACAAGCACACGCGGACGAGACGTCAGCTCATGGAGGCATGAGGAAAACGCTGCACGGGCTGCGCAGGAGATATTATCAGGGACTATGTACGGAAATGCGATACATGCAAGGAGACCAAGGCACAAAACTACCGGATGCAGGTCGGAATTGGGGAAGAAGTGCTCACCGACCGCCCCTTCCAGAAGCTATATATCGACTTCTTGGGGAAGTATCCGCGGTCGAAACGAGGGCATGCGTGGATATTCGTCGTTGTAGACCACTTCTAGAAATTTACCTTCCTGAAGGCCATGGAGGAAGCCACCGAGGCGGATGTCGTGAACTTCTTAGTGCATGAGGTGTTCTTCAAATTTGGCGTGCCGGAAGTGATCCATTCGGATAATGGACGACAATTCGTGTCGAAGTCGTTCGATGCGATGGTCCAGGCGTTTGGCATTACTCACCTGCGCACACCAGTGTATTCGCCTCAGAGCAACGCCGCCGAACGCGTGAGCCGCACAGTGCTGTCTGCAATTAGAACCTACCTGGGTCAGGATCATCGGGATTGGGACGCGTACCTACCAGAGGTGGAAGTGGCGATCCGGAATGCGGTCCACAGCGCTACGGGAGTGACTCCGTTCTTCGCGGTCTTTGGACAGCAGATGTACCTGAATGGTTCCAGTTACAAACTGGCCAGGAAGCTGAGATCATTGGCCGATCACAGTATTTCTGACCTTGACGCGAAGGACAGACTGGCTGTAATCCGAAGCCAAGTCAAGGACCACCTGCACACCGCATACGAGCGAAGTCGCCAACGATACGACCACCGCGCGCGCCAGCTCCATCTGGAACCGGGACAGGAAGTGTGGAGGCGCAACTTCGCACTAAGCAGCTTCGGCAAAGCCTTCAATGCCAAGTTCGCCCGGAAATTCTTGAAGAGCCGAGTCGTCCGAGCCGTGGGCACCAACGCCTACGAGCTCGAAGATCTCCAGGGACGCGTGCTAGGCGTCTTCCGCGCAAAAGATATACGAACATACTCGTAATTTGCTCACCTCCCTGCCAGGCAATGGCGCCGGCAGCGCCCGTCCTCCCTGTTTTTTTTTTTCTTTCGGGTCAGTGCGAAAATATAGATTACTTGTCGTGGGTGTGGCCTATGTTGGGCATCGTTATTAGCCGGTTGCGTCAATCCATGAAATGCGCACGCAGATTCCTTGTAACGGTCATTCATGTCATTACAATAACCTGCGTGGTGATGTTGCATTTGACGTTATCGGTTGTACCGAGAGTTTACTTAGTTAGTTGCGTGCGATATTATCGGCCACGCCAATATTTTTTCGTCATATGGTCACAGTATGCGGGGTGAAGCTGCGCCCACAGCGGAGCCCAAATTTTTGAAGGGTGGCAACGCCAGACTTGCGATCCACGACGCCAAAAGAGACGATTGCTATTGGCCGCCCGGTTCGCTCTTAAAGAGAATATAAATAGATTGGATCGCATGTCCTTGGATATGCCCTTGGTCGTCATTTGGGCCATTGACCCAAAAAAATGCAGCTGTGCAGATGTGCAGCAACGGTGCCCGCCTCGCCAATGTATGCGTGTGCCGAAATTCGGCACCGTTGATGTTGTTGCCCAAATGTAAAAGGAGTTCGATTTTGTCAGCGGTCCACAGCGGACGTACCGGTTCGTAGTTAAGGATTTTTGGATGTTGGATATTTTTTTTTGCCGGCCACGGAGCATGTGCTTAACCAATAAGAAAAAAATCAAGGGACATACATTTGTTCATGACGGGCTTTCTTTGTTATTTAATTGCGAAGATAATTCCTTATGTGCTAACGTATTGCAAAAGAAATAGTGCCCAAGAGCGATAATACGCGAAACAATAATACGCCCGAAACACACTGTCGTCATTTAAAACTACTATATATATAGCGGTACTCTATTAGAGCAGCCGCAGCCATTCTGTGGCACACCACGTTTGAATCCCGCGCCGGAGGACGCTGGCCATATCAACCCCGATATTCACGGGCCGGATTTTCAAAGCGCGGCCAAGCGTCGGCGCAACGCTGAAGGCGACGAGACGAGCCACCAACGACCGGACGCCAACAACGAAGAAGCGGCCACAGGCGAGACCACGCCCACATCCTCCGAGTGAGTCCGTTCCATTTTGCCCATCCTCGTTCGAGCCCTTGGCAGAGAAATGATAGAGACTCCTGACCGTACTCCCTGAAAAATAACAGATTTTGTTTGTCGTTAAATTTAGTTTTTTTTGTATTTATAAATCATATCTATACATACATAGGCACTTACGCCGAGTTTTACTTTAGAGTGCGAACGGTGAGGGAAACTCCAAAGGTGATGCATCAGCGCCTGTAAAAGATAAAAATTTAAAATTAACACTTGCGCGAACTATACTCACATACTTACCTAATTGGAATTACCCATTTCTATCACCCCTTACCACCCCAGAGAGCTCTTTAGGCGGGGTAAGGTAGAATTAAGCGATTTAATACAATTTATATCACCTGTTGCACGACTGATTATCGTGACATACCCAGTTTTACGTAGTTGTGTGGGCACATTGTTCCTAAATTGGCGCAACGATTGCCTCGAAATTGCCTCCGTGCGTGTTTTTTTTGCGGCGACTAGCAATATCTTTGTAGAATTTCGTGTTCTGTTCCATTTAGTGCTGTTAAAATAAAATAAAAGGAATTCTAGAAGATAAGAGAAAATGTAGAAATGTTCACGTGCATGAATACTAATTCATCTGAACGGAGACGTCGTGCAAATTAGAAGGAAATAAGAGAAATATTATTGCCAAAATTATAAGAATACACCAACCATTATACGCACCTGTGAAGTTAACCAAATATCCACTTGCATGAGATTCTAAATAGCTGCAAAGATAAATGCCATAAGCGATGATTATAATTGTTATACACTTTAAGAAAACGCAACCAATTATATACCGTATCTGATGAGGGAAATGTCCGGTTAAATTTTCTTCGTTGGGGAGAGTTGGCATAACAGCCGGCACAGGCTGATGGCCATCTAATGGACAAAATGTGGGAGACGAGTAGGTGATCGTCTCGTGGTTGGGCGGGTACGCTGGGTCCGGAACCGGGGCCCGATCTGGAAGAGTATGGTGGATTAATAGTGTTTTTCTGTTAATTTATATTGAGTGTCTCACCTTTGTTGTTTACATTTTCATAGTTGTTACAGTTGTTTATTTTGTTCATGAGTTAGAAGTTCCGATTTTTTTGACGTTATCGATTTGTGGTTCGTTTTGCATAGTGTTGTGTAAGTCTGTTTTGCTACAGACGTATAGCTTTGTTGTTATCGATTGTGCGGACTGCGGGCCAGGATGGGACTACACCCAGAGAAACCGATGAGCCAGCCGGCGCGGCCCACTGAGAAACAAGCAGTTCCGTAACAATGTGCTTAGCCCGGGAAAAAGTTGAAAAGCTTTCAAATAAATATACATTAATAACATTGTCAATATTTTTCTCTTTTTATCTGTCAGACATTGTAAAGAATTTTTTTTCAATATGCTTAGTGTCTCCGAAAGGCGGTATTTATAAACTCGAATTGTGATATTTCTTATACGACCAGATTGTTAATAGAAAAATATCAAAGAACAAGTAATATTACTCCAGCCTGGTTAGAGGATTCCCCGAACCTTCCTGAGCCAACCAAATGCACGTCGCCTTCCTAGCTCAATTCCCACCATAACTGAAAACTCATTTTAAACAAGTAAGAGGTTGTAGTCGGGAGCTCCCGACTAGGGGATACCCTGAACCCTCTTCTTCCAACATCAAATGCATATATATATTCTATTTTAGAAGCTATATGTCATGTTTGGTGACTCTAGCTCTTATTATTTACCAAAATTGCCCAAAAAACAGGATATCGATATCGATTTTAATCGATTGCTTGGAAACGGAGTAAGTTATCGATTATCAGAAACAAACTCGATCTGCGCGGGAGCTAGGATCATCTACATCTAATTTCAAGTCACTAGCTCTTATAGGTTCTGAGATCCTTGCGTTCATACATATGGACAGACGGACGGACGGACGGACGGACAGACAGAAGGGCATGGCTAGATCGACTCGGCTATTGATGCTGGTCAAGAATATATATTTTTTATGGGGTCGGAGATGTTTCCTTCTGCCTGTTCCATACATTTGGCTTTCGCACAAATACATTATACCCTTATACCCATTTTTAATGGGTTTAGGGTATAATTATCAAAAAACAAGTAATATTGCTCCAGCCTGGTTAGAGGATACCCCGAACCTTCTTGAGCCAACCAAATGCACGTCGCCTTCCTAGCTCAATTCCCATCATAACTAAAAATTCATTTTAAACAAGTAAGAGGTTGTAGTCAGGAGCTCCCGACTAGGGGATATCCTGAACCCTCTTCTTCCAACATCAAATGCAAATATATATTTTATTTTAGAAGCTAAATGTCAAGTTTGGTGACTCTTATTATTTACCAAAATTGCCAAAAACAAAAACAGGATATCGATATCGATTTTTATTGATTGCTTGGAAACGGAGTAAGTTTTCGATTATCGGAAACAAACTCGATCTGCGCGGGAGCTAGGAGCATCCACATCTAATTTCAAGTCTCTAGCTCTTATAGGTTCTGCGATCCTTTCGTTCATACGTACGGAAAGACGGACAGACGGACATGGCTAGATCGACTCGGCTAATGGTGCTGATCAAGAATATATATACATTATGGGGTCGGAGATGCTTCCTTCTGCCTGTTACATACATTTGGATTTTGCACAAATATCCATTTTTAATGGGTTCAGGGTATAAAATATAAACTGGACACCCCACATTTATACGAGGCAAAAATATAATTTCAATAACCGAAATTTAAAATTGAATGCTCACAATCACTCTTGCTACATTTTTCATATTAAATCCTACTGGTGTTGACCATATAGATTTGAAGTCTGTACTAATTGAGCATCCCACAGAAGTCCCCGTAGTGAGCCTGTTGGAGGCTTCAAACATAATGGTCTCCAGTCCGAAAACATTATATATATAATGATTGAATATCCCAAGGTTAGGTTTATATATAGAAATATCATCTTCCCGGTATCTCAAGAGCATGTAGTACTTCAACTACAAGATGACACCGTATCCGAATGCGACAGCTATGTCCTGGTAGTTACGAGCTGTGACACAACAATCTACGGATCGTACCCAGCCACTTAAAACCTATAACATATGAGGATGATGATAATAAATGAAAGTCCCGCTGGAGTCCGCACTTACGACGGGACAGAATTACCCATCAATGTAATAACGTAGTCCTTTATGAGTAACCCCCGCATAGGTTTATAATTATAATAAAACAATAACATTCTTTCAATCGGACTCGAATCAAAGTCACGCAGCTGCCGCACAGCATACAATACAATCCCAACTGCAATGCTGTTTATAGAATTCAATAAAGACGCGCATGAATGTGTGTGTACATGAATATAGAAATTCTTGCAGTTTGCGCTAACTGCCACAAACACGTTTCAATAAAGGTACACGTTTTCTTTAACAACTCTTGTGTTTCCTAACCGATATTGATGAAATATTCAGCAGGAGATCTTTTTGTTCAATAGGATATTCGTATATTCTTTAAGAGACACCTGCATTAAAATTAAAGCTTAAATTGGTTGGTAACTAAAATTGCTTTATTTATTTGCTTCATCTCTGGGGTTGGGGCAGGGATGTGGCGATAGCAATAAAATGAACGGTACTTGGTATATATAGCTATATATATATATAGTATTCTAGAAGCACAAGTCAAAATTTGTGACTCTAGCTAAAGCCTAAAGATTTACTCGAAAACTGGATTTATATATCATATTATCAGACAGATGGACATGGTAAGATCGACTCGGCTATTGATGGTGATCAAGCATATTTACACATTATGGGATCGCAGATGTTTCCTTTTGCGTGTTACATACATAAGCACAAATACATTATACCTCTCTTACTTATTTTAAATGGGTTTAGAATATAAAAAACAGAAAAAAACATTCATGATTAGCCTGGATTTTAACAAATCGAGAATTTACACCGAAGTCACTCATAATCTCACCAAATCTACATACTCGCTGTTTTAACAAGCATCAACTCACTTTTAGTACAATGCCCTCTATGTATCAAATAATCAATAAAAACCGACGAATTGAGTATAAAAGGAACTTTTAAAAATTGATGCAGATTTCTGGTTTTGGTTTGGAATTGTAACAGTAGTGAGTCCATATGGAGCACCTACATCTAAAATTCCAAGTCTCTAGCTGTTATAGGTTCTGGGATCCTTGCGTTCATTTTTTTTGTAATGTTATTTTAGTTCCTTTTTTATCATTAGTACTTAATTATTGGTGTGGCTGTTGAGTAGAGGCATAGCAAGTGGTGCGGTCTGTCGCGAGTTCGAGCCCTACCCAGTGAAAATGAGTAAAAAGGGTATATTGTGTTTGTGCAAACTGCAAATGTATGTAACAGGCAGAAGGAAGCATCTCCGACCCCATTAAGTATATATAATCTTGATCAGTATCAATAGCCGAGTCGATCTAGCCATGTCAGTCTGTCTGTCCGTCCGTCCGTTCGTCTGTCCGTATGTATGAACGCTAGGATCTCAGATCCTATAAGAGCTAGAGACTTGCAATTTTAGATGTAGGTGCTCCAAGTGCCTGCGCCGATTGAGTTTGTTACAAGTATCTTTCATTTTATACCTATCGCCACCTCCCCGCTTCCACCGCAAAGCTATAAATCAAGTTAATAACCCAACTTTTATTGCCAACCAATTTAAGCCACAATTTAAATGCAATTGATTTTTTCAGAATACACAAATATTCTATTGTACAATAAGATATACTGTAGAAAATTTCATAAAGTTCGGATAAGAAAAAACAAAAGTCATATGCAACTGCGCAATTGAATAAGGCAGAAGCGTTGAGTATTTCTGTATACATGTACACACACACGTTCATGCACGTCTGCTTCGCATTCTAACAGCATGGTAATTGCGACTTCTTTCTTTAATGCTATTTTAGTTCCTATTTTATCAGAAGTACTTAATTATTGGTGTGGGTGCTGAGTAGGGGCATAGCAAGTGGTGCGGTCTGTCGCGAGTTCAAGCCCTACCGTGAAAAGTAATTTTTTTTTTGTTAGTGTGGCTGTTGAGTGGAGTCGACAGAAGCTAATGCGGTCAGTTGCGAGCTCGAACCCTGCCAAGGGAACTTTTTATAACCTGAACCCATTAAAAATGGGTATAAGAGTATATTGTATTTGTGCAAAATCCAAATGTATGTAACATGCAGAAGTAATCTTCTCCGACCCCATAAAGTATATATATTCTTGATCAGCATTAATAGCCGAGGCGGTCTAGCCATGTCCGTCGTCTGTCCGTCCGTTCGGCCGTCCGTTCGTATGTATGAACGCAAGGATCTCAGAACCTATAAGAGCTAGAGATTTTACATTTAAGATGTAGATGATCCTAGCTCCCGCGCAGATCGAGTTTGTTTCCAATAATCGATAACTTACTCCGTTTCCAAGCAATCGATTAAAATCGATATCGATATCCTGTTTTTTGGACAATTTTGGTAAATAATAAGAGCCAGAGTCACCAAACTTGGCATATAGCTTCTAAAATAGAATATATATATGCATTTGATGTTGGAAGAAGAGGGTTCAGGGTTTCCTCTAGTCGTGAGCTCCCGACTAGAACCTCTTACATCTTTTTTAAATTTATTTGGTGTTGGGATAAGAGGGTTCAGGGTATTCCTCAGTCGGGAGCTCCCGACCTCTTACTTGTTCATTACCCAATTTTCTCAAAACACAGGATGTAAGTTATTAAGTAAGTTATCGATTATCGGAAACAAACTCGATCTGCGCAGGCACTAGGAGCACCTACATCTAAAATTTCAAGTCTCTAGCTCTTATAGGATCTGAGATCCTAGCGTTCATACATACCGACGGACGGACGGACGGACAGACAGAAGGACATGGCTAGATCGACTCGGCTATTTTATCTCAGAACCTATAAGAGATAGAGACCTGAAAGCTGTACCGATAAATTAATCTGTCGATATCAACATCCTGTTATTTGAGCAAATTGGGTAAATATCAAGAGCAAAAGTCACTTGATATGTTGCTTCTTGAATATTATATATATCGGAAGGAAGCTACTGGCCGGGTTACAA